TGGCTGGGGGGGAGGTCGCAATCTAGCAATAAAGATTGCTAGGCAGGCCGAGTTTTTCCCAAATCCTGCTTTTTTTCCCTCAGAAAATCACTTTAAACCCCCCCTCCCCCCTCAAACCTTTCCCAGGGCAGCTCCAAAATGGCGCCCGCTCTTTGTTTACCAAAATCCGGATTTTTTTACCTCATTAATTCGCGGTTTTGGGGATTTTTATTTATTTATTCCAGCTCCCCTCAACCCTTGTTTTTATCCCTCCCCCCCGGTGAATTTTGGGGGTGTTTAATCCCAATCCTGGCGGTTTTTTGGAGGATTTTGGTGGTGGGAAAAGGGGGATTTAACAGATTTCTCTTTGTCGATTGTGTCTGTGTTTGCCACCCCCCCCTCTCTTTCTAAACCCCCCCCAAAATTCCTTAAAAATTCCTTAAAAAAACCCTCTCAAACCCCCCCAATTTGGGGGATTTTTTTTATTTTTATTTTGTTGTTTCCCAGCTCTAAAATGGCGCCGAGGCCTCGCCGTTGTTGCCCCTCCCACCGTGGGGGGCCCCCCCTTAAAATTCCATTTTTCCTCCTTTTTTTTAGCCCCCCCTTTTCCCAAAATCCTTTTTTTTTATTTTTTAACCCCAACCTTCGACCTGCAGGACCCAGAAAATTCTCTTTTTTTTCTCTTTTTTTTTTTTTTTCCACAGGATTTTTAATTTTTAATTAATTTTTTTCTCTTTTTCTCTGTTCCTTTTTCCTGCTTTTTTTTTGGGGGGGTTTCAGGGGGGTTTTGGGGAATTTTGGGAGGGGGGAGCAGTGTCCTGGAGCCTTTAATAATTTTGAATTTATCACCACAGGGAAATGCTACCACTGGCCTTGGCCCCCCTTTTCCTCACACAACCCAAAAACAAAACAAAAAACAACCAAAAAACCAAAAACAAAAAATAGGAATTTTGGGAGGGGAAAAAAAACACCCCCAAAACTCCATTTTTTTCCCGATTTTCAATGGTTTTGCCCCGTTTTTGCAGCTTAGGAAGCTTTACCTCAGCAAAGGGAGGGAACAGCCACAACCCGGGTAAGCAAAATAATCTTTTTTTTTTTTTTTAATTTTTTTTTTTTATTATTATTTTTTTGGGCTTAATTCCATTTCACGGCCTTTGGATCCAGGGTTTTTAAAACATTCCAAAATTCCCTTTTTTTTCCCCTCCCCTTTTCCCTCTCCTGGTGCATGCGGCAGTCGGGAGTTGGGTTTTTCCTTTTTTTATTTTTTTTTTTCTTAAATCCCCCCCAAAAATTCCACAGATTTGGGCAAAAAAAAACCCCGCAGAGATCCCTTTGGAGAATTGAGATTTTTGGGGAATAAACTCATTTATTTGGCATTAATCCCCCCCAAAATTCCATTTTGTACCCAGTGGTAGCATTTCCTATTGGGGGGGGGTACACGGGCAGCCCCCCCCTTAATTCCCCCCCAAAAATCGCCTTTTTTGGGGGTAAAACGAGTCAAAAATGCTGTAAAATCCGAATTTTGGGGAGGGTGGGGGTCAGGCCTTGACACCCCCCATGTCCCCCCCCCAATTTAATGGGTTGGGAATTGTCCTTCCCTGTTAAAAATGGGATTTTTCCCCATTTTTGGGGGGATTTTGGGGTCCCCCAGCTCATTTAGGGGGGGGCTTTGCCTCTGTGGGACCCCAAAAATGAGGAGGGGGACCCAAAAATCCTTTGGGGGGGGGGGAGGGGGTTTTGCCCCTCCCCCACTGCAGGACCTCTCCCCCCCCTGTTGATTTTGGGGGGGGGGAGGTCAAAGGTTACGGTGAAAATTTGGGGTTAAATCTCCAAATTTGGGGTTTTCCCCTCATTTTTGGGGAGGTTTGTGCTGGTTTAACCTTTTCTTGTGTTTTTGCAGAGGGGTGGCTTTGCTGACCCCCCCCCATCCCTAATTAATTCTGCTAATTGGGGGCTGCATCCTTTGATTAATTAACGCTGGGGGGGGAGCGTTTAACGAACCCCAGCTCTGGGTGCTGCCCCCACCCTAAAAACTGAAATTTCAGGGGGGTTTCACCCCCAAAAATTGAATTTTTTGTGAGGTTTTAACCCCAAAAAACCTCCCCAGCTCCTCCCCCCGTCCTCATTAAGGAAACTGGGTCATAATTAAGCTTTAATTAGTGGTGATTAATGATGTCAGAGCCTGAAACCCCCCCCCAGAAAGGGGGGGGGGACCCGGATTGAGGTCAATGAGCGTTGGGTCATTAAGAGGGGGATTGGCCTTAATTAATGAGGTGTTAATTAATGGTTGGTTCGTTAGTCAGAGGGTTTAATTATGGCCTGAGTTGGGGGGGGGGTGTGACACCCCCAAATGTGGCTCTTCCTTAAGTGGCAGCTTGTTAATTAACCCCTGGTTAATTAAACTTGGGGTTAGGGGAGGGCTGTGGTTGAAAAGCCCCCACGGCCCCTCGTTCTGCTCGTTAATTAACAAAAAAAATTAATGAATTTTTGGGGCAAAACTGTTGGAAATGGCGGATTTGGGCTCGTTAACGGCTTAAATTCACTTTAAAATTAAAAATTTCGGGGTGGGGGCTCAGGGTTCCTCCCCCTCCCCTCACGTGTGCGACCCCAAATCCTCAACCCTGCTGTTAATTGAACTAATTAATTCATTAATTAATAAATGAGGTCACTGGAATGGCATCGGAGGGGGAGGGGGAGCCGTGACTCCCCTCGGTGTCCCTTGGGAGGGTCCCTGGGACCCTTTTTTTGGGGACAATTCCCAGGTTTTGGGTCATTTTCCAGCTTTTCGAGGTTGATTTCGGAGTTGGTTTCCCGTTTTTGGGGTTTTCTCTCCTTTTCCTGCGGTTTTCCATCGTTTTAGGGTCGATTTCCAGCTTTTTGGGGTGCTTTTCCTGCTTTTTGGGGCCTATTCCCAGCTTTTGGAGGGCCATTTCCTGGGAGTCGAGGCCGTTTTCCATCTTTTTGGGGTCAATTTCCAGCTCTTCGAGGTCGATTTCCCCTTTTTCCTCTTGTTTTCCAGCTCTTTGGGGTGGTTTTCCTCCTTTTTGGGGCAGAATTCTGTGATTTTCAGATGCTTTTCCATCTTTTTGGGGTGGTGCTTAGCTTTTTGAGGCGCATTTCCAGCTTTTTGGGGTCGATTCCCACCTTTTTAGGGATTTTTCCACTGTTCTGGTGTGTTTTCCCAGCATTTGGAGTTAATTCCTCTCATTTTCAGAGCAATTTCCTGCCCTTTTCAGTTCAATTTCCTGCTTTTTGAAATTGATTCCCAACTTTCTGGGGTTCTCCACTTTTTTTTTGGGTTTATTTCCCCTTTTTCTCTTTTTTAGGGCAGATTTTCATCTTTCAGGGTAAATCTCTAATTTTCCAGGGCCCGTTTCCCCATATTTGGGGTTCTTTTCCAGCTTTTTCAGGTTGATTTCCTCCTTTTTAAGGCAAATTTCCCTTTTTTCAGTGCTGGTTTTGCTCTCCTCCTTCGTTTTACCCCCGGAATTTCTGCGTGCCGTCATTTTCCCAACTCTCCCCCCATTCCTAACCCTGTTTTTTCATGTTTTTTCATGTTTTTTCCCATTTTTTCCCATTTTTCCAGGCTGTTCCTGCCATGGGCTCCGGCCCCATCGACCCCAAGGAGCTCCTCAAGGGCCTCGATTGTTTCCTGGGCCGGGATGGGGAGGTCAAAACCATGGATGGCATCTCCAAAATATTCAGGTGAGACCCCAAAAACGCCCATTTTTGGAGCTCCCATCCCTTTTTTTTAAAAATTAACAACTAATTAATATTAACAATATTACTAATTAACATTAATTGCTGTTAATCAGCCTCATGAAGGACTCGCAGAAGATGGTGAGTCGCTGCATTTACCTGAACATCCTCCTGCAGACCCGGGCCCAGGACATCCTGAACAAGTGAGTGGGATTTTGGGTGAATTTTGGGTGGATTTGGGTGATTTTGGGTGGCCTCCAGGTTTTCCTGGCCAGATCCTTCCAGAATTCCCACTTTTTTCCCTCAGTTTCATCCTGGCCAAGTAAGCACGTGCAAAAGTTGGATTTTGAGTAAATTTTGGGTGAATTTTGGTGGCCTCCAGGTTTTCCTGGCCAGATCCTTCCAGAATTCCCAATTTTTTCCCTCAGATTCATCCTGGCCAAGGAATCGCAGAGAAAAGTGAATTTTAGGTGGATTTTGAGTGGATTTTTTGGGCATTTTGGGTGGATTTTGATGGATTCTGGCTGAATCCTTTCAGAATTCTCACTTTCTCCTCTCAGGTTCACCCTGGCCAAGTAACCACACAAAAAAAATGGATTTTAATTTGGTTTAGGTGGATTCTGAGGGGATTTTTTTTGCATTTTGGGTGGATTTTGATGGATTCCAGCTGGATCCTTCCAGAATTCCCACTTTTTCCCCTCAGAATCATCCTGGCCAAGTAACCACACAGAAAAATGGATTTTAATTTGGTTTAGGTGAATTTTAGGTGCATTCTGAGGGGAATTTTTTTGGATTTTGGCTGGATTTTGCTGGATTTTGATGGAATCAAGGTTTTCCCGGATGGATCTTTCCAGAATTCCCACTTTTTTCCCTCAGGTTCATCCTGGCCAAGGAACCACACAGAAAAGCAGATTTTAGGTGCATTCTGAGGGGAATTTTTTTGTATTTTGGCTGGATTTTGATGGATTTTGATGGAATCAAGGTTTTCCTGGATGGATCTTTCCAGAATTCCCACTTCGTCCCCTCAGGTTCATCCTGACCAAGTAACCACACAAAAAAGCAGATTTTAAGTGGATTCTGAGGAGATTTTTTTCAGATTTTGTGTGGATTTTGATGGATTTGAGTTTTTCCCAGATGGATCCTTCCAGAATTCCCACTTTTTCCCCTCAGGTTCATCCTGGCCAAGTAACCACACAGAAAAGCAGATTTTAGGTGCATTCTGAGGGGATTTTTTTTGGATTTTGGGTGGATTTTGATGGAATCAAGGTTTTCCTGGATGGATCTTTCCAGAATTCCCACTTCGTCCCCTCAGGTTCATCCTGGCCAAGTAACCACACAGAAAAGTGCATTTTTATTGAGTTTAGGTGGATTTTAGGTGGATTCTGAGGGAATTTTTTTTGATTTTGGCTGGATTTTGATGGAATCGAGGTTTTCCCGGATGGATCTTTCCAGAATTCCAACTTTTCCCCTCAGGTTCATCCTGGCCAAGTAACCACACAGAAAAGCAGAATTTAATTAGGTTTAGGTGCATTTTGAGGGGAATTTTTTTGGATTTTGGCTGGATTTTGCTGGATTTTGATGGAATCAAGGTTTTCCCGGATGGATCTTTCCAGAATTCCCACTTTTTCCCCTCAGGTTCATCCTGACCAAGTAACCACACAGAAAAATGGATTTTAATTTGGTTTAGGTGGATTCTGAGGGGATTTTTTTTGTATTTTGGCTGGATTTTGATGGAATCAAGGTTTTCCCGGATGGATCTTTCCAGAATTCCAACTTTTCCCCTCAGGTTCATCCTGGCCAAGTAACCACACAGAAAAGCAGATTTTAGGTGGATTCTGAGGGGATTTTTTTTGGATTTTGGCTGGATTTTGCTGGATTTTGATGGAATCAAGGTTTTCCTGGATGGATCTTTCCAGAATTCCCACTTCGTCCCCTCAGGTTCATCCTGGCCAAGTAACCACACAAAAAAGCAGATTTTAAGTGGATTCTGAGGAGATATTTTTCAGATTTTGTGTGGATTTTGATGGATTTGAGTTTTTCCCGGATGGATCCTTCCAGAATTCCAACTTTTTTCCCTCAGGCTCATCCTGGCCAAGTAACCACACAGAAAAGCAGATTTTAGGTGCATTCTGAGGGGATTTTTTTTGTATTTTGGCTGGATTTTGCTGGATTTTGATGGAATCAAGGTTTTCCCGGATGGATCTTTCCAGAATTCCCACTTTTTCCCCTCAGGTTTATCCGGATCGGGGGCTACAAGCTGCTCAACACGTGGCTGACGGGCTCCAAGGCCGCCAACAACGTCCCCTTCCTGCAGCAGCTGCTGCTCACCCTGCAGCACCTCCCGCTCACCGTCGACCACCTCAAGCAGGTCCGGGGGGCTTGGGGACACCTGGGGTGGCTTTTGGGGACACCTGGGGACACCTCAGGTGGCTTTTGGGGCATCTCAGGTGGTTTTTGGGGCCTTTGGGGCCTCTTGGGGACACCTCAGATGGATTTTAGGGCCTCTCAGGTGGCACCTGGGGACACCTCAAATGGCTTTTGGGGCCTTTGGGGCCTTTCAGGTGGCTTTTGGGGCCTCTTGGGGACACCTGGGGTGGCTTTTAGGGCATGTCAGGTGGCTTTTGGGGCCTTTGGGGCCTCTTGGGGACATCTGGGGACATCTTGGGTGGCTTTTGGGGACTCTTGGGGACACCTCAGGTGGCTTTTGGGGCCTCTCAGGTGGTTTTTGGGGGCTCTGGGGCCTCTTGGGGACACCTGGGGACACCTGGATGGCTTTTGGGGCCTCTCAGGTGGCTTTTGGGGCCTCTGGGGCCTCTTGGGGACACCTCAGATGGATTTTAGGGCCTCTCAGGTGGCACCTGGGGACACCTCAGGTGGCTTTTGGGGCCTTTGGGGCCTTTCAGGTGGCTTTTGGGGCCTCTTGGGGACACCTGGGGTGGCTTTTGGGGCATCTCAGGTGGTTTTTGGGGCCTTTGGGGCCTCTTGGGGACACCTGGGGACACCTGGGTGGCTTTTGGGGCCTCTCAGGGTCAGGGGAGACCTCAGGTGGCACCTGGGGACACCTCAGGTGGCTTTTGTCACTCCTAAAGTGGCTTTTGTTCCTCTCCAAAGTGTTTTTTGTCTCATTTAATGCCCTTTAAGGGGATTTGGGGACACCTGGGGTGGCTTTTGGGGCCTCTCAGGTGGCTTTTGTCACTCCTAAAGTGACTTTTGTCCCTCCCCAAAGTGTTTTTTGTCTCATTTAATGCCCTTTAAGGGGATTTGGGGACACTCTGGTGACTTTTGGGGACACTGGGGTGGCTTTTGTCCCACTCCAAGTCATTTTTGTCCCATTCCAAGGTGGATTTTGTCCCATTTAATGCCCTTTGAGGGGGTTTGGGGACACTGGGGTGGCATTTGTGACTCCCAAGTGGCTTTTGTCCCCTCACAGGTGGCTTTTGTGTCCCCTGGGTGGCCTTTGTGTCCCTCGGGGTCCCTTTTGTCCCCCCCTGAACCTTCTGTTCCTTTCCAGAACAACACGGCCAAGCTGGTGAAGCAGCTCAGCAAGTCCAGCGATGATGAGGGTGAGCACAGACCCCCCCCAAAATCCTCCTGGGACCCCCAAAATCCTCCTGGGACCCCCAAAATCCTCCTGGGACCCCCAGAACCTCCCTCAGACCCCCCCAATCCACCTGGAACCCCCCCAAAAAACCCCTCAAGATGCTGAAAACCTCACAGAGACCCCTCAAAATCCTCCTGAGACCCCCCAAAGCCTTTCTCAAACCCCTTTCAGGACCCCGAAACCCACCCTGAGACCCCCAAAATCCACTAAAACCTTCCTCAAACCTTCCTCAAACTCCTTTCAGGACCCCAAAACCCACCCTGAGACCCCCAAAACCCTCCTGAGACCCCCAAAACCTTCCTCAATCTCCTTTCAGGACCCCAAAACCCTCCTGAGACCCCCAAACTCCCCTTCAGACCCCAAAAAACCCCTCAAGATGCTGAAAACCTCACAGAGACCCCTCAAAACCTCTCTCAGACTGCCCAAAACTCTCCTGAGACCCCCAAAATTTTCCTCAAACCCTTTTTAGGATCCCAAAATCACCTCAAAACCTTTCTCAATCCCCTTTCAGGACCCCAAAACCCTCCTGAGACCCCCAAAATCCACTAAAACCTTTCTCAAACTCCTTTCAGGATCCCAAAATCACCTCAAAACCTTCCTCAATCCCCTTTCAGGACCTTAAAACCCTCCTGAGACCCCCAAAACCCTCCTCAAACTCTTTTCAGGACCCCAAAACCCTCCTGAGACCCCCAAAATCTCCCAAAAACCTCCTCAAACCTTCCTCAATCCCCTTTCAGGACCCCAAAACCCACCCTGAGACCCCTAAA